ATCCTGCTTTGTACAGGCCTTTTTTGTTTGTTCTCTATTATGTTTTCATTTATATTTTGTTTTGGGGATTTGCTTTGTATTCTTTTGTTTTAGTTTGTTTTTGTTTTCTGTTGGGTTGTTTTTTTTTTTTGTTCACTGCCTTTAGTTGTTATTGTTGTTGGTGGTGGTGCTGGTGGTGTGTGTGTGTGTGTGTGTGTGTGTGTGTGTGTGTGTGTGTGTGTGTATGTGTGTTTGTGTGTTTTTATGTGTGTTTGTTTGTGTGTGTGCATTATTTTTACTTGATGTTACTTTTCTTTTGCTTTTTCGGGGTTTTTGATTGTTTTGTGGTTTTGAAATTTGGTTTTAATTGCGTGAATTTGTTAGCATTGTTCTTACCAGAAGTGTGTGAAACGCGTCCATGATTTGTATAGTTTTGTTATACATGTAGTTATGAAATCAATTCATTTGTTTTTGTTCCCACAAAGGTTTACGGGTGAGGGGCAAACCGTCTCTTTATAAATGAAGGATGTTTGCGAATTATCATGGCTATCGATTAGAGATTTATTTGTCAGCAATGTTTTGTTTTGTTGGGGGGGGTTTTGGTGTTGTTGTTTTTTTTAAAGTGTTTTACGGCGCTCGCCACTGCATAATGTCATATGAGCGCGCGGGATGTATTAAACATTTTCAATTGGTAGGAAATTTTGAATTTCGCCCGGGTGGCGCCCGAAGCCTACTCTTATCCATACTGGACCACCAAGGGATCTTTAACGTGTGCAACTTGCACACAGGACTTGCGAGATTGTTCGCCCTTGTCCGAGAAGGCTAGGGGTAGATCTTTCCTACCAGAAGATCAGGGGTGTGGCTGTGGCTGAAAGACAGCAGTGAGAAGTAGCCAAGGAGTTGTATTTGAAAGGCTACAGAAAGAGTCAGGAGCACAGTGGAGGGGGCAAAGAGGGTGAGGGGGTGGGGGGAAGAAAGTGGAAATGAAAGCAGACGACAGAATATTGCAAGAGAGAAGGACAAAAGGTATAAGGAGACAATTTTAGAGAAGAAAATGTTTCCGTCCCAACCAGGTTTCGAACCCAGGACCTTTGAATGAGAGGCGAACACCTTAACCTGTAGGCCACCAGAGCCCCCTGCAAATTTATTGGCCAAGCTTCTCTTGTCCATGTAAATCGTGAGCTGTTGTATTTGCTCTTCTCCAAGGCGATAAAGGGAAATGTAATCTGCCATTGTTAAGAGCATGATTTGTGGATCTCATAAACAGATCGTGTGCTGTCAGAACGCGTATTCTGTTGAGCATTCTCGACTGACGTCAGAGATGCGAGTACAATAGACTTTAGTGTGCACAGGAAAATGGAAAAGTTTTGCCAACTCGACCTGTGGTCGGCTTATCGCATGTGAGCCATCAAGAAGTCAATACTTTTGTTTGTGTCAATAGTTGTTTGTTTGTTGTTGTTGTTTTGTTTTGTTTTCTATGTTTGTTTGGGGGTTTTCTATTTGGTTGTTTTTTTTTCAAATATTGGCTCAAATGTGAACGACGTTTCGAGATCAGTGACATCAATGCGCATATTCTCTCTCTCTGTAAGTTTTGCTTGACTTTTCTTCCTGCTCATATAGGGACTTCAAATTTCAACATCAGCACGAAAAGAAAACCGTATAGGTAGGCAGCAGCAAAGTACCAGATGAGTATAATACTTTGTTCCTGTCACAGACATCGGCTGTATAATGAAACGTTGTTCAGACTTCGAGTAATGGCGAAGCCTTTTTGCAGTGGTTTCCTGTTATTATAAAGGCAGTCATCTGTAGAAAGCAGATTGTAAAACCTCTGGTGTCGATAATTGAGCCCGGTGGTCTGGTGCTAGGAACATGAACGTTTGGGAAACAAAGTGAATGGGTGTTCTCTTGAAGATGTTTATCAAATCATTGGGAGAATCTCTCAAGACAGATAAATACGATCTCCTACATTAGAGGCGCGATGTTCTTGTACAATGCGAGTGCCTTGTTCTCTGCCTTGCTCGATCTCTTTGAATCTTGACAGCAGGGGTTCACCTTTGTCTTGGTCGAAAGATGGGGATTGGGTGGAGATAGAGTGGGGCGGGGGGAGAGGGAGAGGTTGGGTGAGAGTGAAAGGAGGAGGAGGAGAGAGAGAGAGAGAGAGAGAGAGAGAGAGAGAGAGAGAAGAGAGAGAGAAAAGAGAGAGAGAGAGTGAAAGAAGGAGTATAGAGAGCGTGAGAAGAGAGACCGGAGAAGGAGCAGGGGGATGAGAGAAAGAGAGACAGACAGAGAGACAGAGGAAGAAAGAAAATTCTCAGTATTGGCCTTCAGTGTTCTGTTTTGGGTCTCACTCTGTGCCTATCTTTTCTTTATCCTTCTATTTACAAAAAGATCGATAGATGTTGGAAAGGTCTGCTTCGTGATTTCATTTTTTGTTGTTGTTGTTTGTTTTGTTTTGGGGTTTTTGTAGTGGGGGTGAGTAGGTTGTTTTTTGTAGATTGTGGGCACATTTTTTCTCCAAGTTGTACGACTTACAAAGGCTTCAAAAGGCTGAAAATAGAGAAATATGAAAAAAGTGTTTGCCCGATCATCCTTGGTGCCCTGACGGTCATCTAGACTACGGGATACGTAAAGTAAAGTATCTTACGGTACGGTACCGTATGTTTCTGTCATTTATGTAAACTGCTCCGGGGCTTTTGTTTGTGTTTGGAGATCGCCTGACAGAGATCTCGCCTCATTAGTTACGTATGAATATGAGCCCATTAAACTATCAATCTCTCTCTCTCTCTCTCTCTCTCTCTCTCTCTCTCTCTCTCTCTCTCTCT